TTATTAGGTATCACAGTCTTAATAAAAAAAAAAAAAACCTTTAAAGTTTGCTGCATCAATATAAGATGCGGCCTAGATGTTAGCGTGCCAGAATGTAGATTTGAGGTTTCACGGTTCGCACCTCGTCACTGATAAAAAACAAAAAACGTGCTCCGCATTTTAGGGTAGTGGGTGCATTATTAGTGACAGTCAAATTAGAGTAACCCACGCGTGGGTGTAGGTGTTGTTAAATAACTCCCTTCTTGTCTATCACTTTAAAATTAGGGGCAGGTAGGCCACAAATGATCAAGATGAGGGGATAATTACGTTTATTAAGTTACTCAACTATTCAAAAATTTTAAATATCGTAGTAAATTGAACTTGATGATAACATACAATAATATCTGGAACTTTGAAAACGAATTACGTGAAAGTAACAATGTCTCAATAAAGATTACAAGTTCACCCACGCGCGAAACGTTCAAAGCGTAACTGCTATGGCTTTACTATTGGCAGAGGTTTTATGACGGTGAACTTTGGTAAAGTTGAACAGAACAATGGGCAAGATCTATCAGTGAAAAGTTAGTAATGTGCGTTATTTTTAGTCTTTGGTTGCTTTTATATATAAATAAATATATAATAGAAAAACTTACCTCTTTCTTGCTTCCGGTTAGCGTTTTCTCCGCATTACACGAATCATGGCAGTAACACCCAATCTCCTGGCCATCGTTCTGGTCTGAGCTCCATAGCCATCGGTCATCTTGTGGATGGACTTTTCTCCCTAGTAAGCTTGTGTTATCTTGTGTGACGATACTGAATTCAAAACACACCATCTTAGGCCCACCAGAAATAGTACTATGGTTTGTTGAAAAGATAGCTGTGTTGTTTTTGATATTGGTTGATGTGGTGTTCGCTACATCTGGTTTTACAGACTGACTAGAAGTGCTTATTCTGCAATCTGTGAGACAATCAAACGTTGAAACACTACTATTATCACTAATTGATTGACAAGTTGATTTAGACGAAGAGGGGTAGCCACGTGACTGGTGGTTCAGTTCATCTTGCTCGGAAAAGTCGAGATTTTTGCATAGTGACTGACGAGGTTCAAGCAAAGATTTGTCTGTATATGACGCGTCACTTATGTGAACTGAATCTTCCACAACACTGTCATTGATAGAAGATACCATTCGTAATGAAGAATCAACCTGAGCTGATGGTGGATCCTTAAAAATAAGATAATCTGCATTAGCTTCAAACTACCTTATCGTAATACCTTTAAACTATCCCTTAAAATTAGGCTGCATTAGCTTCAAATTACCTTATGGTAGTACCTTTAAAATAACCCTTAAAATAAGGCTGCATTAGCTTCAAATTACCTTATCGTAGTACCTTTAAACTAGCCCTTAAAATTAGGCTGCATTAGCTTCAAATTACCTTATGGTAGTACCTTTAAAATAACCGTTAAAATAAGGCTGCATAAACTTCAAATTACCTTATCGTAGTACCTTTAAACTAGCCCTTAAAATTAGGCTGCATTAGCTTCAAATTACCTTATCGTAATACCTTTAAACTAGCCCTTAAAATTAGGCTGCATTAGCTTCAAATTACCTTATCGTAGTACCTTTAAACTAGCCCTTAAAATTAGGCTGCATTAGCTTCAAATTACCTTATCGTAATACCTTTAAACTAGCCCTTAAAATTAGGCTGCATTAGCTTCAAATTACCTTATCGTAATACCTTTAAAATAACCCTTAAGTTTAAGCATCATTACTTCAAACTACCTTATACAATACAGTCCACAACAGGTCAGCGGTAAGCTTACAGCCTTACAACGCAAAAATTCTGGGTTCAATTCCCCGGGATGGACAGAACGCAGAGAGCCTGTTGTACAGCTTTGCGCTAAAACAAAGTTATTTAGCTTTGGGGCTTGGCAATACAATAACCCTTAATATAGAGATAAGGGCCAGAGAAAAAGAAATCTACAAATCACAGTCGTGCATTTTTACATTGCACATAAAAATAAAATATTCTGCTCTTTGTTTATTTGTAATTAAGCACAAAGCTACACAATGGGCTATCTATGCTGTGCTCACCACGGGTATCAAAACCCTGTTTTTAGCGCTATAAGTCCGCAGATTTACCGCTGTACCACTAGGGGTCTGTTCTGCTACGCTTTATTGTTAAATAAATAGTCTACTCTTTTTTTTTCTTACAGTGTTGTATCACAGAATAATTATTTAGTTTCTGATCACACATGATGCAGAAACAAACTTTTATACTCCATCAAATATGTTTTCAGAGAAACGTTATACCAAATGCATTTTTAGTTAAAAAATTATTTTATGTCGAAGAAAAAAAAATGGAGATCAGATATTTCGCCCTTCAATCTTGTGCCCCGCAGTGGCTCACGATTCAGCTGATGGTATAATACAAAAATTCTGGGTTTGTTCTCCGTGGCGGGCATAGCACAGATAGCCATTGTATAGCTCTGCGCTAGAACAAATAAACTTCAATATTATTTAATAATCATATTCCAATTCTATATATCGGGAGAGAGAGAGAAAAAGCATGGAAACATTTCGCTTTAATGTTTTTGTTTTTTTTTAGCCGCGGCATAGTGGCTCATAGAACGTCACTGGGTTTGTTTGTTGTTGTTTTTCTAGTACAAACTTTTAGCTCATAGCTTGGTCATCTCTTGACGGATTTGAAATCTAATTGTAGATTTGGATTCAGGAGGTCAAACCCTTTCGATTAATGTATTTGATCACAAGGTCTCATGGATTAATTTACTCTAATCCTGCCTAAAATAATTTCAATTTGAGGGTAGACTGGTAGAGATCCTGATGAGTGATAAAATCGAATCAGGTATACGCGCGCCCCACGCTTGGTATTGCTGGCGCAAAAAAAAAGCCCAATAAAAAGGAAAAAGAAGGTCTCATAGATTAATTTACTCTAATCCTGCCTAAAAGAATTTCAAGTGTCGCGGCTATTGAGGATTTCCTCTTGTTTTCTAATTTATAAGGTTCTTCACAGCTTTCTATATATGCCTAATTATGTGTGTGTGTGCGTGATCAAAACAATGTATGTGTTTTAATGTCAAACCTGCGGAATATAGGCTTGTGTTAAATCGATTATGTTCAGTAATATACAAGTATTTCTAATTTATATCTGTCTGTACGTTAACACAAGATTGGGGGTTGGGAATATGTTAAAAGAAAATACCTATAAAAAGCTTAAGAATAACCCTATGAATAAAAATCACGAAAAACAAGTGTTTGTTTGTTTAAAGTTAAGCACAACGCTACACAATGGGCTATCTGTGCTCTGCCAACCACGGGTATCGAAACCCGGTTTATAGCTTTGTACGTTCGCAGACATTCCGCTGTTCTTGTGGTCTAAGAGTTTTGTGGAGAAATATATTATGTCACGTCCCATATTCAAAAACTATCCTAAAATGGGGGTCTTGTTTTTTATTTAACGTAAAACAAAATAGCAGTCATTTCTACGTAACGAAAGCTTTTGTTAGGTTTAAACTGGAATGCGTTACTTTTCTGATAACTACGCTGTTGATATTGATATTTGAAACTTAATGAAAAGTGGGTATAGGAAGTATAGACTTTACAAAAATAACGATTCGACAATACACCAATTAGAGCGCTATAATTTTTTACAAAATCAGTAAGTTATTACATGCTTAGCTAAAAGAAAATGTAGTAAACCGGGCTACTTTGAACAATTACTACTATAAACTACTGATCAATCGTAACTTGTATATGGGCTATTTTGAACAGCTTGTGTGTTTCAAAAAATTCACTAGATCTTATGAAGCAGTAATGAAACACTTCGACTCATAAAATCACTGTTTAACGAGACACAAAAACGCATTATACGATTAACAGCATATATCTTCCTTATCTAAAATCATGTAAAATCCCCTTCTGGTTTCACATTTTCCTCAGATATAACTTGATATCTCTCCAAAAATACAATATTTCATCTTTAACTCTTGGCCATCTCCATCCTTATTACATACGCTTAGTAAGAACACTGACAATGGAACCATCATTTTCTACAGGGATAACCTTTCCAGGATATTTGGAACCTTTATAATCAACCCTCACAAACTGCCCACCAGGTGGCATTATTTTAAATAATTTTTGCTGCTGATCCTATAGCAGGTCCCACTGCTGAGTCACCCTGACCAGCTTCATCTGCAGGACTGCATCCTACACACAGGGCCCTAGTTTCATTTTCTGACTCTTCGTCCTCTGATCCACTCTCCCCTTCATCACCTGGGTTGCACTTCCATCGTCTTTATTTTCACTGTTGGACTCCCTTCTTGATGGTCCTAGAACTGTTCAAAGTAATCCCAGATAGCCTATTTCCTACATACAATCCACATAACTTGCTAAAGTAAAAAATTATCCAGCAAGCAGGTTCAGTTTTCTTTCTCAGTCTGTGAGTACATAGTATACTTTATATTTAAGCTAGATACAGTGCCAAATATATGCTTTCTTCCCTAGGGGGAAAAAAAAAGTCTGATTACCATGAAAACATATGGTTATCTTGTGTTGATGCCGGCCATGTTCGAAACTTTGCTGAGGAATTAATTTCTTTCTCTGAAATATTTTATTATCAGAATTATTCTATAAAATAGTACGAATAAAGGTTTTAGGGTAAATAAAAATTGTTTTAACACATTGCTGAATTTTTATGACTGGTTAAAATAATCAAAATCTTTTCCATGAAAAAGTGTTCAAAGTAACCCCAGGTTACGATGACTGAGGTTTCATTAGGCCTAACATCACAAGACACTTCATTTCTTAACAATGCTAATTTAATCCTAGAATTCTCTTTTACAATTTGTTAACGATGTTAGAAATGAGATCGCGTAATAAAATTCAACTTCATTAAGAAAGCTTAGAAAAGTGTTTAATTTTATTATAATTCAACTGTCTTTGGCAACTGTAGTGATCGTAATATTTTGGAGTCGTATTAAATATAATATAATATCCAGCATATTTTACCAGATCGTTTTGAAGATGCAAAGAAATGGTTAAATCTACTATTAAGGAAAAATAATTTAGTTATCACAGTTTCGACCAAACGTGATAAAGGTCATTTAGCTGAAACTTTAACTAATAATCCTTTCTTACAGCGATTTAACTATTTATTTGCACATTTTAGATTTTATCCTACTGTGGCTGCATGTCTTTTGTTTTGTTGGGTAGTTCTTGTGTTTACCAGTAGATGGCACTGTCTTACTGGGTGTTTTTGTTTGTTTGTTTGTTTTGAATTTCGCGCAAAGCTACATGAGGGCTATCTGCGCTAGCCGTCCCTAATTTAGCAGTGTAAGACTAGAGGGAAGGCAGCTAGTCATCACCACCCACCGCCAACTCTTGGGCTACTCTTTTACCAACGAATAGTAGTATTGACCGTCACCCAACCCAGAATTTTAACGTTATAAACCCAAAAATACAAAAAACTAAAGTAAAAACGCTGAAAAGTGGACTTGATTAATAAACTCTTTGAAATTACATCTTTACAGAATTCAACCACGAAGTTTTTTTTTTTTAAGCATCATGAAGTTCTAAGAAAAGAGAAGAAAGTGGAATGACAGCTTTCAGATTTTGTTGAACTTAGTGATCAAATCAGGTCAGAGAAGGGAAACTGATAGCAATTTTTAGGGGGGAAAATTCATTAAAATGGCCATTGGATCCTTCTTATGTAACCAACAAAAGTCATTTTTTGAAATTTCAATACATTTGTTAAGATTAAATATATCTTAATTCAAATTGATGCATGGTGAAAAAACTAGCTTAATTTTTTGCTTACACGTTTGTTTCCTGTTTTAACAATATATTTCAGATACAAACACGTATAATTTTGAATAACACTCATGTTTATTTCGCATTTATACTAATTTCGTCGTAGCTTTATATATGCAAAAGCTGCTTCGTTCCGGATTCCGGGATGCGAATTAAAACATCTCAGGTTCAATTTTAAATTACTGCATGTGTCAAAACGAATTGCAGAAATTTACACTTTCGCTGGCTTATCAGACAATGGCACGACTGTTATTTGTTTGTTTGTTTTAATACGGTTACTAACTTTTCTGATAAAATATATAAGCATTCTTATTGGCCTTGCTAGGTTTATATTGACGAAACCTCGTAAAAATTATGATTTATGTTTAAACATCCATGGATTTGCCTTTTTATAGAACTATTTGTCGACTCTGTCTATTTATTTGATTAATATTCGTTTTTACGTCAACAAAAAATACAATAAAAAACGGTTGTCAGTTACCCTTCTAGTTTACAATCTCCCTAGCATTCTCCATGTTTCTTAAAAGGTGGCGCCATCTGTTGAGGTGTTTGGTTTTAAATAAGATCAGATAACATATATATATATACTGAATAATACGATAAATATACTTACTGTTGTGTTATTATTGGTCAGCATCTTCCCTGATATACAACAGTGATGACAGTAGCAGCCAATGGCCTGGTCATCACTCTGATCTGAACTCCACACCCATCGGTCATCTAATGGATGAACTGTTCTTCTTGGCGACGTTGTGGTATCTTGAATGTTATTAAGTCCAAACCACAGACTTTTTGGCTCAATGGGCATCATGCATGTGTCCAGATTTTGGGTGTCACTAGCTTTTGAAGTGCTACTTAACTGAGCGTCTGAAAGGAGATTGACCTTTACACTAGTATTTGTTACAGACTCTAAGTATTTTGTCACTGAATCTGTGCGTGAGTATACTCCTGAAAAAACGTTGCTATCGTCGCCACTAATTTCAGACAGAAACGAAAGATCAGTTAATGGACTGTCCACTTCGATTTGGCCAGTTTGCTCAAACGTGTGATCAGATGAAAAAATTAACTGACTAGGTCTATCCACGTATTGCTCTGTATTTGTTTCAATGTTACAGTTGTTTTGATCTTCCAAAACGTAGCCATTATTTACAGCATTCGCCGTACCGTACTCCTGGACAGGCGAAGTACACTTTAAAACAATAACAAAAAACTATATATTAGGTTCGAATTAAGGAACTCTCAATATGGTGTTTTATTTTCTAACTTTTATTAATATTCTACCTAAAAGATCTTATTTTCTAAAAGACTGTTGAGTCTTGTGTATGTGTATTTCTAATGGTTAATCTTCCCGACATCACGAATACGGAAACGCTGGAAAGTTTAACCATTAAAAATATTTATTTTTTCGTGGTTATTATCGCATTGATATCTCCTATAGTTAACTTACGTCAACTCCATTCAAGATTTACTCCTATGATATTCAAATACATTCTACGCATATTTGCTTACTATAATGTACTTTAGATTCTACCGCATTCAGACTTAATTTTATAGAATATTTTGCACTTCACATAACCCCAGCATATCTTTATTCATTAACACAATAACTTAAACAACAACAACAAATGTTCACGCATACACACAGAAACAGATGTAAAATGGTATCCTTTATTAAACTTGTTTGGCAGATGTCATAGAAGCCTAACCTGGGAGGGAGGGGAGAAGGTTGTAGAAGGGGCCCGTGCCACTCACTTTGAATAATTTGTTGAAGCAAAAAGATTGTATCACTTCGCTCCGCCCCCTCACCCCCCCCCCCCACACACACACACTTTTAAACTGATGATTCACACCATTCGAATAAGTTTGACTTCAATGAAAACGTCCACTTACAACAAGAAAGAACACCCTAAAACTCATTCAGATACGGATGTAATTGCAAAAAAAAAATCTGTTTATATTTTTGAAGTTTCAGTTGACACTAGTATTTTCTGACAGAAATAAGTAATAAAAAACAGCAACATTTTTGGAGTCGCTAACTCTAACCTGCGATGATAAATGGTCAAATACGTCGTCTTGTAAGTCGAATTCTGATGATAAATCATCGTCTTCCTCGAACGTCAGATTCCCTGTCACTTCACCATTGGCCAAGTCTTCTATAATTCCCTTTAAGATAGTTAAAATAATGGATTTTGAAATTCAATAGTTTTCCTTGCAATCCTCTGCGTCACATTACCGCATCAAGAAAATTGATATTTTTTAAACTAATTTCCTAACTAATATTATCGCCTTGACAATTTTTCTCTCATTGAACCCTTCAATGTCTGAATTTATTAATCCAATCTTTCACATCCTTACAGGAAACAGCGCCGAATAATTATCAACAGGTGTACATGCATTTGTTCTGTTTTATTTGAATGGCCACATATAACAGGTTTTTCAAAGAAAAATATTTATAACATAATAAAAGGTAACGGAAAAGTAAGAGAAAATTATGAGTTTCTGTAAACAAACAACAAAAAGAACCTAAAACATTACAAGTTTACTACGACAAAGTTTTTGTAAGTCTCAGAAAAAGTAAGAGAAAATTAAGAGTTTCTGTAAACAAACAACAAAAAGAACCTAAAACATTACAAGTTTACTACGACAAAGTTGTTGTAAGTCTCAGAAAAAGTAAGAGAAAATGAAGAGTTTCTGTAAACAAACAAACAAAAAGAACCTAAAACATTACAAGTTTACTACGACAAAGTTGTTGTAAGTCTCAGAAAAAGTAAGAGAAAATGAAGAGTTTCTGTAAACAAACAAACAAAAAGAACCTAAAACATTACAAGTTTACTACGACAAAGTTGTTGT